CACAGAGTAAAGTCTTTCTCTGGTCATTGATTAAACCGCTAAAAACACATCTCTGTTTTTCTTTTCACGAAAATAATCCATTCGGTGCCTTGATTCTCACTCTACACCGCTGCCTCTTTGAGAATGTGTGGCTCCATGAAGCCCTCTTTCACCGCCCAGCCCTTCGCTGCTGGCTGCAGCTCGAGCATGCCAGCTCACCTTTGACTCTGCTCGAACACTGTAAAACTACTCCTGGCAATGGCACGTTTTAAAGTATTTAGTAATTCCGCCATATATGTTTGAACCGGAAACCAATTCTAAAGAACATTATAATGGTACGAGTTCCTCATCCCACAAGTTGACAACATCGGTTCTCATGAGTGAGACCTGGAAGCGTGAATTTATATGTGTATCGAAAATCGGTCATCGATACTCATTAGTTGGTGATGTTGACTTGTCTTTAGACTGTAAAGACTACCATATGGACATTTCAGAGGTGGTCTTTAATCAAACTAATAGTTCAGTGTGTACCTCATGTAGTCTCTTCACTCTTACCCCAACTGGTCTACGTAGATGGCCGCCCTCCCTGAGCCTGAGGTAATAGATTTTTTTTTTTCTTCCTACTGTTGCCAGCTCAAAAGAAATCCAAAAAAATCTTTCGATTTGTTGGGTTTTATCCGTATAATTTTGTAAGTTCTTCAACTCACTATGTGAAACACCTTTAGATGACATATGTTGTAAATTAACATAACACACAACATTCCTGTATTGCTATTATGGCAGCTGACATGCCACATGCAATTGCCCATTCAGTTACCCCAGACTGGACTAGAGAAACCAAATCTTTCTCTGATTTGTCTCCGTCTCCCTCTGAGACTCTGCTCAATGACTCCCATCGAGACAGCATTCACACTATTGTCTGAACAACTTGAGAGACAAGAATAAGTTTATGCTGGCTTCATAATTTCCATGCTCCGGTCACAAAAGGACACTTGTTTGGGCCTCTTGTCTCTCGGTTATTTCCTTGTTGAGGGTTAACAGGAGGAGTGGCTCTGTGGACTGTGCCGGCTGACAATCCCACATTGTGTGAACTGGTGCTGATTCACAAAGGGGCCATTGTGGAGAGCGGTGGCCCAGGGAGAGCCGACTGGGTCTGGGTTAGGTGACAGAGAGGTGTGGGTTCTGGGGGGCCTGGGTCTGGGGGCTATAGCCACAGTGGCTGGCCCAGAGTAGGGGCGTGCATTGGTGCTCAGCTGACACGGAGCTGGAGCTGGGAGAGCGCACACGTGTGAGAGGAGTCCCGTGCTGCTGCTTGTCACAGCGCTAAAGCGATACTGTACTCCCACTCTGCCGCCACCTACATACGGGCGCTCAAATCCCCGTCCGAGGTGAGCAGCATTATGAAAATAGATCTTTAATCAAAAGAGTTGTCAGTCCCCGATTTATTTCCCGCAGAATCCGATGCAGTGATTATAAAACCGGAGGGCTTAAGCTGCTTGTACAACTGTTCCCAGAATTTGAAATATTTCGCTGTTTATCCTCCTCTGACTCCAGCTCAAGGTCAAGCCCACATGTGTGGTGTACTCTAGATGTGTTTACACAGACAGATGGCCGAGCAGTCCAAAGTCACAGTTCACAGAAGCCACTTTTATTTTATTTTTTTTCGCTCCCCGGCTGCACTGCTGCTCTCCTTGACCACCAGCTCAAGATTTTAATCTCTCCTCTCTCACCCTCTGCTGTTCATTCTCTGTCTTCAAATCATGGTGCTCTCTCTGTGTCTGAGAGTGACAGGGCTCTCAGGTCAAGCTGACGCCAGTCTCTCTGCCCAGTCTGAAGCAGGCCTAGGTCCTCGCCCAGCTGTCCCGAGGTCTATTTGTCCGTCTGTCTGTCAAGCCCGGCTGTTGTCCTGGCCTCTCACCTTATGTCAAGAGCCCTTTGGTGACGGGCCATTTGAAAGGCGTGGGCATAAGCAGTTAAGCCAAAACAATGGTCACCGGCCCTGTGGCACTGTTATTTTACCAAGAGCCATAGTACTGCCTAGATATTAAGATATAGTTTCTGATTTTTCTCTTCACGCTAGCCAAACTTGACTCTGTTATCAGCTACAATACAGATTAGGGATGTCAACGATTCATTCTTAATCAGATAATTGCCGTTGATAATGTAACAAATTAAAAATGTATTACAGAGGAGCAAACTGAGGACATTCATGTTAGGAACTGTATTGTAGATTAGCTGTAATTCCTGGTTGTTCCACAAGGTGGAGCCTCTTACTGTTAAATGAACTGGAATACTGCAACTGTTTTGTCGATATTGCAGCGACCCGAGGAGGCGGTCACTCAGAGTGCAGGCAGTTCCATGTTAGCAAGCAGAGAGCATTGTGGGTATTTAGCTAGCAACGGGCACCATGACAGAAACTTCTGTGGTCGTTAATGACTTCTGGCCAGAGCTGACATTGTGAAGACAAGTTGAAGCTCTTTAGGATTATACAGTGCTGCCCGTTTATTATCATACCCTCGGTCCAGGATAGAATCAAGACAATGTCTGGGATATTCCGATAAGCCTGTTTCAATCATGATAGAGCACTGAGGAAATTGTGTCTGTGTGACGAAACATGGGGGTTTCATACATAAAGCCAAAATGGGAACGTTTTCTCAAGATCAAATTGGCAGTTTCTTTGAAGATCAAGAAATGTTTATTCAAACGGAGCTTTATGGTGAAATTTCACCTTTGTCGGTGCGAAAAGCCACCCCATCGATAAAAGTTATTTCCTTTAATCAGAGGGTAAACAGAGGATTAACTTATCAGGATTAACCAGCTGAGCAGTTCAGTTATGAATGACGACATGCTCTGCAACAACGCGATTCTCTTTGATGTGCCCTAATTAATGTCAGACTGTGTGAACAAGTTGGTGAAGCAGATCTCAGGTGAGCAGGTAACTGACAAACAAACAAACACATTGTTTTCAGCGGCTGACCAGGGTGTGATAATCTGCCACACATGACTGACGCTCGGCCAATGAGCCACAACGATCGGCCGACCATGACTTTAAACGGGCAAAGGTTTGGGGAATTTCATTCTGACAACAACCAGGATTATGACATTATTCTATGAGAATAAATGGGCTGTTTAACTATAGGTTATACAGGAAAGGATTCAGGAGTTTGATATTTTATGATTATAAACGGGATATTCTATAAAGCCGTGTGACATTAAGTAGGCAGCACTGTAGTCGAATATGTAAGTGGCCACCAGTTCATGCAGCAAATGTCACGTGTGTTTGGTTTAAAACAGTGTTATCAGTGTATAAAAAACTGTACTTCTTTTAGTTGGTGATAAATTTATTATGGCTTGAGCACGCTCTCCAACAATATTTAACTTTGCATCCTTAATATAGACACTCGTAAAGGAGATGTGAAGGAAAGTGACGTTTGAACGTGAAGTCGTAAACGGGGCCTCTCCTCTGCCCTCAGGGTGGGATTACCGCAAACTGGTAACCATTGACTTCTCTGTCCACATTAGAGGCCGTCCGTACGCCTAAATTGCTCGGCTGCTGACAGGCTATGGTTACACAGCACAGATCGAGTTCTTTAGTCAGATTTATTTGGTCACCAGCTAACCTTTTAATTTCGCGTCCGGCTCTATCTCCTAATATACTCCCATTCTCTGAGGGCTGTAATTTATCATCTGTGGCCTGCTACTTAAAGCCGAGAGCTGCTATGGTATTTCAGTGTCTGTCATTCAGTCTGCATGTTTAGTGCAGCGAAGGTAGAACCCAAAAGCTGTTCAAACAGCTTCAGTTAGTTACGCAGCGCTCACTTACTTCATTGAACAAATACAAATCTCTCAGTCAACATGAGTTTATCAAGGCTTCTCCCGAGGCGTGTGCGAGTCATTTGGAGGTCAGATGAAGTAAATGTCAGTTTTCCGATCATGTGTGAAACATGTGTGCACTGATTTGCCTCCTTTAGGTGTTGCTTTCTAAGAATGCATTTGCATGAGTGTTGAACTTTGAAAGGCATCATTTTACAACAACTACACGACGAGTACAGCAGGTTCATGTGAAGCAATGCAATGGACTGTAACAAGATTATCTTATCCGTTTCAAGTTCAGTTAGAAAGTCTCCATTCATTGCAAATGAGCCGTAGTTGCACTGAAAGCCATTGTGTACTTAGATAAACCTACATTTGAAACCTTAAGTCCGTGTACACAAGGTAGTGTTATTGTGGAAGTCCTGCAGTTATGCTATTTATGGCTGACAGATGGCATCCATGTCAGGGTGCGTAGCTGAGCTTGCACCTCACGGCAAGGCATCAGACAGATTAAACTAAAAACCGCGTAGTGAACCCTTGAACTTGGACTGTTTATAAATGGAACAGACAGTCCTGTCAAAGGTCCTTTCTACTCGTGCAGTATATAGCATAGGTGTGTAGATTGGAGCAGAGCAACCAAGAATGCAGACAAGCTGCACTGACTTTGGAAAGCATGCAGTCGGACCAAGTAATTCATGAAGCAGTTCAATTCGATCTCATGTCTTTTTGGATGCATCTGCTTCTAGACGCCACCCTTTCATTAACTCGTTCAAAAAATAGTGCACAGCTACTAAAAGTGCATTGTTGTCACTGTGTTGATTATGGCCTGGATTGATTCATGCTGAGTCCAACATAGTCGCGCGCAACGGTGTAATTTCCTCGTCTAAAATTGCCTTCGCCGGAGCAATGCTTTATTTCTAGCGGAGCCGTCGAAGCTGCACGTGTAAAGCAATTATGTAATTACTGCGCTTTAAATGCTGCGACACATATCTGAAGTCAGGGAAATATCAAAGTGAGCCCTAACAAGAACATTTGCCTTTGCACAGACTGTTCTATCAGTGCGCGGCGTGCCAAGCTTGGCATGGAAATGGATGCCGAGGGTGGATTGTGTGAGAAAGACGGACCATGTGGTGGGACTTGTGTGCACGTCTGTTCACTTTCCCCCCACTTAACACTTTCTCTGCGTGTTCTCTGCTTTGATCCTGCAGCCCAGCACTCTACCCCAGGGTACGATCAATATGAACCAGTGCTCCGACGTCATTGACGGCGAGTCCAGGACGGGCCAGAAGAACTCGCTGTGCATCCTGACCCCTGAGAAAGAGCATTTCATACGGGCTGAGTGCAAAGAAATCATCAATGGGTGAGATGTCCTCATAGACATGTTGTGCATGTATGAGATGGAATAACCCCTGGTCTAGATGGGCATTAGGGTTTGTCTTGCTCCGTCTTTTGGGCTGAGGATGACAGAGATGAAGGGGAATAGTTGTGCACAGCTGCTGTGGCAGCCAAAACTGCTCTGCCCCCTGCTGTCTCCTTCAGGCTGTGCTTTTCAAGGAGTTGTAATTCAGGCTGCAGTGACAGTGCACATTCTTGAACCGTTCCCTCTCCAGCCCCTCTCCCTGCGTTCGCAAACCGCCGTGCAGCCGGACACAGATCACAACACACAAACTTTAATCTTCATAATTCAGTCGTCTCTCGAGCCTCTCCTCCTCCTCCTCCTTCCGCCGCTGCTGCACATTCCCTCTTCTCTCTCCCTTCCCCGACTGTAGCACACATATCTCGGCTATTCTTAGGGAGCCGTGACTCACAACACCCACTCCTCGTTATGCTACCTGCTCTGTCACTGTACGCCTCCCACGCTCCTATCATCTGGCTTCCATGTGCCGGTTCTAGGCCATCACACAGCCCTATTAGCCCCTTGCGAGCTTGTCATTAATTGACAGCGAAAAAAAGGTATTATTTTGTATGTTTTTTCGGATTATGCTAAGCTCTTTTCAAATGCCATTTGACTCATTATTACAGTGTGAAAACAGGGCCGCGTGTCAATCACTGCGAACTGCGTCACATGTTTGCATCTGTGACAGTTTATATTGTGACACTGCAACACTAAAGGCCGGCACTCTTTACAAAGTGGGTGGATTAGAAAAAAAGAACATTGCACAGTGATCTGTAACATAGTCAGTGACTTATGGGACTTGTAGACACAGGATCAAGGGTTTATATTAGATGTAATTCAGATGTGTGTGGGCCAGTGAGAAGGAGGCTGACGGCTGCGTTGCTTTCTAAAGGTGGCAAAACTCCGGACACGTTAGTCTCAGTCGAAGAAAACCCCGAACAGTGAACAAAAAACATTAGTCATCTGCATATTTGTTGAGAAAACGTTAGCATTCACATATACAACATGTAATACCGTTGTGTATTTTTACGAAATCTACCAAGGAGTGTGTATCATCTGTGCTAAACGCAATATTTTTGTTTTCAAAGCACAATGCTTGATGAAACCCCGATGAGTTACAGCTGCTAATTACATAAGTATCCTCGTAAATTTTCGCGAGATAAAAAGCAAAACATAAATTAGAACGGATAATTAAAAGGGGCTGTACGAGGCTTTGAGATGTTTTGTTTGGCACTTAAGGGATTAGACGTGGTTTTTCTTCTCGCCGCATTAGCTCACTCTTCAGAGAGCCGAGGACGTTTAATTTACTGTACTATCATCGTTTTGTTTACGGCACGTTTATCGAGGCGAGCGTCAGGGTTTATTGTTTGCAACATAGAACTGTGTCTTCTATCGATTTCCTCCCACCACACACACACACACACAGGTGCAGAGTCTGTCATGTCCCAGTAACGCTTTGACTTATTCGTAGGTGGCAGGAGGCTCTGACTGTGTACCCCAGGACCAACAAGCAGAACCAGAAGAAAAAACGCAAGGTTGATCCACCCACTCAGCAGGTATTGCTCTTACTCACACTTTCCACAGCGAAGTGCTTTTATGTGCTGTACAAGGTAAAGGTAATGAGCAGCCAGATAAAGGTTGTGTGTTTTTTTTTTTTTGTCATGAAGAGTGATGTTTTTTTCCTGATGTGTATCAATGGGCTTTTGAATGCTGCATTATCTGGGAAAACTTCATTTTAGGGCCTCGTGGGCGTTGATATTTACTGTCACTACTCAGCGGAGCAACAATTCCGATCCTTCTGAATGCAACCATGATCCTCAGGAGGTGGCTTTGACTTTATATCATTAGAAATGAAACACATGTGGCAATAGTGCCTCAGCAACAAAGAAAAGAATATATTTAAGGATGACCTCTGCTATGAAAATATGCAGCGCGAAGGCTTCTCATTCCTTTCAAACTACACCAGCTTTTCTTCCCCCTCAGAAGAAGGAGGGAGACAGATGCATTGTTCTTCTGCCAGCAACATGCTCCACAGTTTATACCATCTATATTTGCATTCTTCAGTCACGTGATGCGTCAGTCTCGATAGACTGCATGCCTCGCGCTTGTCTAACTTAACCGCAGCAGTCATTGATATACAGCAGCAAAACGCTCCAGCGGCGTTTTCGCTGGCGGGGCCGGACCGGATCGCGAATTACAAGTTGCTATTTTTCCACAAGCAACGCTCGCATTCCAACAATGTGCATCTGGTTTTATAGATGCGGAAACAGTATCACTCGGTTAAGTTGGCAGCAAACATTACTGAGCTATCAAAATATTCCTGAGCAAACAAGCATGATGATGACAGCTGCAACATTCAGCGATCCTCTCTCATATAAATTTCCTGGTGTTGTCCGGCAGCTGCGGTCTCACCTTTGTGTTGTTAACCTTACGGGCCCAGAGCTGACTTTTTATTTAGCCGGAGAAGTCGAAATGTCCACGAGGGAGCTCCAGCAAACGTTTTCTGATTTCACACATAACAGCTCTGAGCCCCTCGCGCTCTTAATGAGACGCACATTTAAGCCCATAAACGCAAACTTCTTTTTTTCGACTTGGCCGCCGTAATCCCAGCGCCGCTGCTTATTAGCCGACCTTGCTCATTTACTGCTTTTGCAAGGAGCGAGAATTTCCCTTCGGAGAGCAATAAAGTGTCCAGAATGAATAGTGAAACATGAGGGCAGTGGATCGGATGATATTAAGGGCGCCGTGCACAAAGATGAGCAACCAGAAACCGAAACGCAGTCGCATTCAGCAGTCAGGGAGCAAGGTGAGCGGAGTGCATCAAGCCATTCATGGAACATCCTTCAGACACACAAAGCCCACGAAGAAGGGGAGAGGGGGGGTAAAATAAAAGGCAGTTTTCATGTCCGTGCAAGCTTACATGTGCTGCTGTCAAGTTTCTCCCTGGTAGGTAGAACTAAAATAACAGCGCTTTATAAGAGCCTATTACCATAATAATGGTGTCAATGGCAAGTTGAAATATGGCCATATCATGTAATAATATCGTACCAGACCACCCAGCGTGGGGGATGCAGGTTTTCCCCTTCCCCTACCTCCTTTTTTGATACCGGGCCAAATTTGTGGCGAGTGCGCACCAAGTTCTCTGAAGTTCATTGTCTGGTTCCTCTAATGACGGCGCCCTGGATCAGACGGTGACCTTGCCGGGCCAAACACAAACAGGCTCGTTTGCAGAAAAGCAGCGGTGACACAGCGATGACCTTGACTGTGTCTCCCGTCATTTATGTCTGTTTTCTTTTTGTGCGCCATACTTTCCCGTGTGGATAAATGTACCTGCTCACGCTCTTCACATTCTGTTGTATTATTCATCCCTATTGAGGTTGTTGTTGGACTGTCTGAGACCATTTTGATCCTTTTTTTTTTTTCATCTCACTGACAAAACCCTCATATAATTACAGTAATTTAGTTTTATTCCACAACCCACGGACAGCATAGAGAGAAAGGCTCAGCCTCTGCTCTGCGAATGTGCCGTTCCTAATGTCTAACCAGGGCTCTGCAGTGTGAACATTTCACTCGGGTGTGCGAATGACATTTAAAGTGTGAGGATGTGACAAATGTTTTTGGACGCACCAGTGCGAATGAGTCTTATTAGCAAAGCATCGTTCGGAAAGCAGCTTCACACATTTTCGCTGGCGCTGATCGACGCTGTTGCCGCTTACAATAACAAGCAGCGGGTCGGTCCGTGCTGTCTGAAGGGGGATGCATTAATCAAGCACAGTGGATGTCTGTCTGTTTTAGTTTCCAAGTGAATCTTATGTTAGCCGTCTTATACTGTACATACGACGCTGTATGTTCAGTGTTTATAAGCAGACATGCATTAATGGTTACAGTTTATTATCACACCATCGGTCCAGGATGGAGTTATGACTATATCCGGGATATTCCAATAAGTGGGCTTCAAGATGGCGGCGAGTTTGGGTGTGAAAACTAGCCTATGTACTGGACTAGTACGATCTATATGGTCTATATTGGACGTATTTAGCATGTATTTGGCAAATAAAGTATTTAAGGAAAGAAAACATTTATGTTTATTCAAACAGAGCTTCATGGTTTGGCTTCAGTGAAATTTCACCTTTGTCGGTACGAAAAGCCACCTCATCGATAAAAGTTATTTCCCTTAATCAGAGGGTAAACAGAGGATTAACTTATCAGGATTAACCAGCTGAGCAGTTCAGTTATGAGTGACGACATGCTCTGCAACAACACGATTCTCTTTGATGTGGCCTAATTAATGTCAGACAGTGTGTGAATAAGTCGGTGAAGCAGATCTCAGGTGAGCAGGTAACTGACAAACAAACACATTGCCTTCGGCGGCTGACCAGGGTGTGATAATCTGCCACACATGACCGACGCTCGGCCCGTGAGCCACAGCGATCGGCCAACCATGACTTTAAACAGGCCAGAGTTATTCCTGGTATACGTTTTGGGGAATGTTGACAGAAACTGGGATTATGACATCATTCTATGACAGTAAAGGGGCTGTTTTACTATAGGTTTTACAGGAAATGATTCAGGACTTTGATAGTTTATGATTAGAAATGGGATATTCTATAAAGCGGTGTGACATTAAGTGGGCAGCACTGTATTTCTTTTTGTCCGTTAATTAATCCCCTAGATGTTAAAAAAATGTAAACGTAAAATCAATGTAAGCATGTAGGACTGCTAACACCTTTTAGATGGCATAAAATTCTGATCATGTTTTGTCTCAGTATGTCACTTCTATCTGCTTTAACCCTCAGAACCTCAGAGTTTTTTTTTGCTCCTGTCACATTTTTATTCACTGTGGGTCCAGTTTTCACCGCACTATAAGTCCTACACCTCTATGGATGAGCACAACCACAGCTGGAAGGAGGGAAAACTTAAAAATAAAGACTCTAAATTATAAAAAAAAGAAAGAAAGTTGAGTTTCTTACATTATTTATTTTATTAAAACAAAAAACAAAACAAAAAAAAATCCAAATCAATATAAGCAACATTTTACAAAGTGCCTGCAGGTGTTACTAATACAGGTGTAAAAAAAAAAAAAAAAGGAGTTGAATCTACATACTGTAAATATTGTACTTCTACTCCTGTCTGCTCTTTGTGAACACAGCCTGCAGTTCAGCCCAGTTCATGAACTTTTGTTATCTGACTGTTGATGGCTTCACGGTTGCACCAAATAGCCCAGATATGATTTTTTTAATCTTTGTTTTTTACAGAATCTTGTTAGAGCAAGACGTTTATTTTTTGCAAATTTTTAAAATAAATGTTGTGATTTTTAGACCTAGATTAGTTCTCCAGCGCTTCACAGATGAGTGGTTCAAGGAGAAGCTGATAATCAGATGTTTTCTTTCTGTTCTTACTGTTTCTCTCTGTGATAAATGGTATCATTTCTTTTTTGGAAAAGATAATATGCCTTTCAAACAAACAGGCAGTTTTTGGAGTTCAACGGGTTAGACAATACTATTAGTACAGACCATGACTGACTTTGTAGAAGCAGACTTTGTGTGTGAGAGCGAGAAATGAGCATCAGTTGAAACAACATTGTCGTGGTCAAGGCCGGGCCGTAGAAGCAGGCTGAACGCTTTCACTGCTTGTCTACTGTCAGTTTCTGTCGTTGTCTTTTCGGTTGTTTAGGGATGACAATGTGACATATGGTGCCACTGACAAACAAGCCTCACATTTTCCACACCCCACTGTGTCAGCAGCACATTTCCACCTGAAAGCTCTCCTCCCACTTTGACATGCTTAACTGGAGACATGTGCTGGTTGTAAATACCCGGGCACTGTGGCATGTTTGCCTTGTGGGTAGTGCCCCTCCATCACCTGACCTCGGGTGCAAGAAAAAAAAAAAGTGACTTTCTCATCTTCTAGCTGAAAGAATAATACATTCTGATGCCATCCCGTCAGCAGTAGAAGACCTAACATCCTGCATTTGTGCTTTATTTCATAGTTAAATTTGAATTAACATAAGAAAGAAACCAAAGTTAAGAGAAAATAATGAGACTCCTCGTGGAATTATTCTTTTTTCTCCTGTATTGATTGTAATCAGCAGCACATACCGAGCATTAACATCAAAGGCTTTTTGTGATTGGCAGGGTGGAGTAACTCCAAGCCAGTGTTTTTCCACTGAAGACATGAATGGACACCCAGTGAGTTCAGCTCGGCCAAACCTTTTTTTTATTATTATTATCCTGCTTCAATTTTACAAATCCCAGCCTTTGAAACTTCATCCCTTATAAATGACATGTACTATAATCCCAATCAGTGAAGGTGAAGGGTGAATAATCAGGTCATGCTTTTTTTCCTCCCTTCTCTCTCTCAATACTGAAAGAGTGATTCTTGGCACAGCAGCATGTTTGTGGTGATTGGACTTCGATGGATGAGAAGTTGTTGTTTTCAGGGTCGCTTTGCTTCGGAAATCTTGCTCTCTCTTGTTGCCTCAGTGATTTTGTGCATCTCCTGGTGACGTCACAGCTTTAACCGGCTGTACTTGTGTTTGAACTTGCATCCGTTAATCAGATGAAGATGATTTTTATCCTGGAAATTCTGTTCCACCTCTGCAGAATGTCCTTGTGCTTTTGTTTTTTTTTGTCCTCAGTATCTTTCAGTATTACAGGTGCGTTTGCCATGAATGGACTGTTTGTTCTTTGTCCAGCTTTCCATGTGTTGCTCCTTTCCACGCTTCCTCCTTCTCTGTTTCATAATTTATCATTTCACCAATGATAAAAGCTTTAGTTTAGTCACTTTTGTATTGGATTCAACTGAAATGTAAAAAGAAAATCCAAAGCAGGCCAGTCATGTGAACTCATGTTCCACAGAAAACCAAGAGTCTGATCATTGTCTTTACAGCTTCTACATGATTGGAAACTTTAACTGTTATTCAATCTCTTTCCTTCTCGTGATCCTTTTCGTAGTCTCTCTGTGACCTTACCTCCCTTTATGTCCTCTCCTCTACCCATCCACTCCTTCCGTCCCGGACCATCACCCAGGAGCCTGGCCCCGCTAAGGTGACGGTGACCAGCAGCAGCACTGGAGGCAGCATCCCCTGCCTGCCCAGCAGCATCGCCAGTGCCGAGCGAGTCCCGATGAGCCGCTCCACTCTGTGGCAGGAGGAGAACCGCTGGAGCAGGGCCACCATCCCCTGCAGCCGCAGTGCCTCCTGCATCAGCCAGCTGAGCCAGAGCCAGCCAGACTCCAGTAACACTACACAGGATGGTGAGGACCGAGTGGAGGCGTGCACCTGCTTCAGCATCCTGCATCGATGGTTCACTGTTAGATAAGAGAAACTTAAGGAAACTGTTAGGAAACATAAAGCTAACA